TTATATGATTTTGTTTTCCCAGCATCTGCAGTATTCTTATTTTTTCTGCAGTACATGAGTATTTGCTATGTTTGTTCCTATTCACATTGTTTGGAGTGATGCCCAACACAGATGGTGGATATAGTCATCCCAGGGACCTTTATCTATTTTTTTTAGTTAATGATTTTTCCCCATATTTAATGTTTTTTTCATTAAATACTGTTATTGTATAACCCGGTGTAGTAAGGGTTAATACCGTTCGGGAGATTCACCTTTCGAAGGGAGCAGCAACTCATGAACACTCAAACCCACTGAACTGGAAACATACGAAATCCTTCTCTCCTGGAACAGGTAAACAAATAATCCACAGTAGCAATTCCCCCCAAGTACGAGACGAGGCTCCGTATTGAGGGTAAAACAGGAATCTGGTTTATTATGGGCTACCTGCCCAGTATTTATGCAGGTTTTCCACCAGGTGGACACTCCCCTAGGGGACCTGGTGGAAAACTGGGGCACATATTGTACATTAGCCAGTCACAGGGTGGAAGACCTCATCTTTTACAGTATTGGACCCTCCCCTCTGTCCTGGAGATAATTGGGAAGTAACTCAATTATCTCCGAGGACAAAGGCCAAACTCCATTTTATACAGAATAGGGAAAACACATAAAAATACATAATACAAGAACTACCGAACACAATAGATACATTCAACACATCCCCAGATAGCTTGGATCTGAGAGCACATTATTACCAAATGGTGCTCAGATCCTATACACACAGTTCATTTGCCATGGAGCCAAAGTCTTTCACATAGTCTTTTGTTATGCGAATGGGCTCCATGGCACAGCTATCTGGGATAAGTCTATTTCTGAAAATAAACTACCGAACGGACCGGTGTTCATATGCTGTAAAAATAGAAGAAGGGAGGTCGGTGACTTTCAGCGGTGTTCGTGAGAAACAATGTCCGTTTTTAGTTCCATGAAATCATTGACGAACACCGCTGAGAATTCGTGGTCGGCATATGAACGACGACCACCCAGTCGGCATTCGACAATTAGGAAGTGTCTGCGGCTAACCACAACATTCTAATGAGGCCGAGAGGTTAACCAGCAGCACACTTCCATGCTGGGTAGCCGGTCGTTCGGTGAATTGTTCGGTAAAACAGAAACAAGCGTGGGGACCGTACGGACAAGGAAATAGCCGAACAAACAACAAATGAGGGAGCAATAAAAGTATTTCACAGACAGTTGGTTCTGTCACAAATACTATGTTCTGGTATACAATATTTAGGAATCTAGATTTGGAGTTCCTCTCAGTAATATAGGCGTCCTCTACTGGCACTGGACTTTAAAGTTTGTTTGCACAGTTTTTAATGATTTTTTTAATGATTATTCTTTCAGACCTCTCTACAGTCCGATCAATATTGTATGTATAGTATATAGTATATCCACTCTATGCTCTGTAGAGGATGGATTGTTTCAGTAGTTGGATTTTTTGTTTTAACAATATGTTTTTCTGTTCGAATATATTTTTTGTTGAGTTTGTGCTAGGCTCAGGCACCTTTGTAGCTGTGCCTTTCTGTAACATGTTTCCACCTCTGTGTAGGGGCTTAATTCCTCCAACTTTTCATATAGTTCTGTCTTTCTAGCTGGATTGGTATACCAGCAGCAACTTTGCTGGTGGTTCACAGCTGAATTAATGTTTAAGCAATATTTGGGCATAAATCAATAATCTAAATGTAATTTTCTTATCAGTCTCCGCCTATTCAGCCCACTCAATCTCAAATAATTGTTTTTAACAGGATTACTCTCTGAGACATTGCATGTTCAGAAGGGATGAATTCCCCTCTTTGTGCAGGTTGTTGCCATAGTAATCATAGTGTTTTGGTGTTTGGAAACACTGAACAGACTTGGCGTCTAGTTTCCATGGAGATGACCTTTGATGACGTCATGGCGCCAGACGTAGCATGATTATGTAATCGGTGTCAATCAATTATTCATTCTGGCTCCGACCATGGTTTTCACAGACAGTATCCCTTCACTTATTGGGTAAGTGTTTATTGGTGGTGGGTATATAATATTGTCTTTTAAGATGCTATTTTATCCTGATGAAACTGAAGCATCAATCTCTTTATTGAGGAAAATAAAAGATATGTTTTACTTTTAATTCCTTTGGAGTCCTGGGAGTGATATCTCTATGCTACCTGGTTACATTCATGCTGACACGCACCGGGAAAATACATCAGTAAGTTGGAGTGCAAGACTATTTCTTTGTTTATATATATTTTGGTTTTTTTGAAGAACGTTAATTGGCCTATTTTCAACTCTCTTTAGTTGCCTGACTGTTTCCTCAAACATTTTGCATGGACAATAGTTGGCTGAACCGAATCTTCACTTTAAATACCTTTGGGCAACCTGAAAAAAAGCTAAATTTTAAGAAAGATGATGTGGCTGAACTAAACATTCAAATAAGTCAATCACAATTGCAAAAATGCCTGAAATTGGGAAGCCATTAGGCTAAACAAGAGTCATTTGTATGGGCAAAATTCATATGAGCCACATGAAGGAATTTCAAATTGTGCAAACTAAAGAAAATTTGGGGACTGAATATTTCCACCATGCACAAGTCTAAATGGAATTATGCATTTGCGTATCTAATAATAAGAATCTCTTCCTTACCAGCATTCTTGCAAAGTCTAAAGTCTAATGTTTAAAATGTGTCCTTTTTAAATAAAATTATTATATTTTTTAAGTTGGCAAGATAAGGATTCCTGACTCAGGTCGTGTCTATCATCTTGTTTTGTTGTGCATCTGAAGTACATGCATGAAATAATTGTATTTGTTTATTTTTGCATACCTTTTTTTCTTTTTCCCTAAAAGCTTTTTTGATTCTTTCCCAAGTGTATTTTGTGTTTTGTATAGTTTTACTGTAGCAATCAACAAGTGTTTCCCCGAAGGCCCACAGTGTTAGCTTGTCAGTAAGTAATGCCATATAAAGCTAGATTTCTTGCAGTGATAAGCAAAGAATGACCTATACTATATGGTCTTCATTAATGTAGAAAAAAACTCTCCAATGAAAAAGTCACTAAAATGTTATTGTCAATGGAAATAACAGTTGAAAATCCAAATAAGGACACTATTGAAGAATTGTTAAGCAAATGCAAAACTAAATGCATAAGTATTATTTATTTATTTATAAAATATTTTACCAGGAAAGATACATTGAGATTTCTCTCGTTTTCAAGTATGTCCTGGGAAAATATGCATCTAAGTAACTATGGTTGTCACCAGCACATTGGACTATGAGTTTCTATAATTAAAATATAGAGATGGCAAGCTCCTAATGACTTATTAATATGCTTGTTCAAATGATAATGCTTTTAGTTATAGTTTTGACATTTTGTCACCTATGGCCTTGATTTAATATTTTATAAGATTTCCAAGTGCTTTAATATAATATTATTAAATCATTTGAAAAGCTTGTAAAAAATGTAACTGTTTTAATGGTTTAAATGTTTAATGTTTAATGGGGAATTAAGTAGTATATTCTGACTGTTGGTACGCAAGGAACAAGCATGCATTCTTCTATGGCAACGCCCTAGTAAGAAATAGAAAAGAAAAGCATTCTGGAAAGTAGTATTCGGCTGTTATCTGCCACAGCCTGATTCATCAATCGGTCCACCAGCTAGTGAAGCATGAGTCATCACTCCAGAGAACATGTTTCCACTGCTCCAGAGTCCAGTGGTGGCATGCTGTACACCATTCCAGGTGACACTTTCATTGCACATGTTAATAAGAGGCTTGTATCAAGCTGCTCAAGAACAGAATCCATTTCATTAAGTTCATAATTCACAGTTCTTATGCTAATGTTGCTTCCACAGGCAGTTTGTAACTGTGTATTGAGTGGTGCAACAGACAATAGACAATTTTTACATGCTACGCACTTCATCACTCAGGGCTTCTGCTCTGTGAGTATGCATGGTCTATCACTTAGTGACTGGTCTCTTTACAGTTACAGTTCAGCTTTGCAAAAACAGCACTTAGAGTTAACTGGGTCTGACAGATCTAGCATTGCATAACATTTACGAGCTGACTTTAAATGTGGCATCCTAGTCATGTTTAAAAGCCCTGATAATTTTAATACAACCCATTGTGCCACCAATGTTTTTTTGCTGAAATGTATGCACCTGTTAGCAATGGGTGCACATACTCTTGGAAATATAGTGTGTGAAAGTATATGTGAATACTTATATTGTTACTAATTGTACTTATTGGAAATCCTCAATATTGATAGTATATATTATTTTATTTTTTTGCAGATTTATTTTGCTCTGTGGTGTGATTTGCTCAGTCAAGCGTTTGCATCTCCGATAATGGGTAACAATATGGGAAACCAAACTTCACCTGTGGAATTTATTCTCAGTACTCTTTCTGATGTACCTGTTTTTCAGATACCTTTGTTTATTGTATTCATAAATATTTACCTTGTTGCACTTATGGCAAATGGGGCAATAATCATGCTCATCTTTCATTGTCCTTTTCTTCATACACCAATGTACTTTTTTATTGGAAATCTGGGGTTGTTAGATATCTTTTACTTAAGTACAACTGTACCAAAAATGTTAAGTAATTATCTAACACAGAAGAAAAGCATTTCATTTGCAGGATGTGTAGCACAGCTTTATATTTATCTTGTGATGGCGGCTACTGAGTCCACTCTTCTCTCCACCATGGCTTATGACCGATATGTGGCCATTTGCAATCCCTTAAGATATCTTATGATTATGAATCGGACAGTTTGTTTGAAGTTGGCCACATGCTCTTGGATTATTGGGATTTTCTATTCTGCCATCCACACAGCCAATACTTTTCTGCTAAACTTTTGCAGATCCAATATTGTTGATCATTTTTACTGTGACATCCCTCCTCTTCTAAAGATCTCTTGCTCTGATACCAGTAAGGCTGAAATTGTAATCTATGTAGTAGGAGGACTATTAGTATTGATTTGCTTTCCACTAATTATTATTTCCTATGTTTTCATCATTCAATCTATCTTGAAGATACCATCAGCTACAGGTCGCAGTAAAACATTCTCTACTTGTGTATCCCACCTTCTTTCAGTCAGTTTGTTTTATGTTAGTGGGAGTTTTGCATATTTCAGGCCCATGTCTTCAAGCTCCTTGAGTCAGTACAAGTTCAATGCAATATTCTATACTATCATACCACCCGTAATGAATCCAATTATATACAGCCTGAGAAATAAGGAGTTAAAGAAGGCTACTAAACTATTCAGTTGTTATTAGACTTTGTAAAAACAAATAATATCAACGTTTCTTATGAAAAAATATATATTAAAGAACTTTTAAATTGAACAGTGTCCCTAGATCCAAATGAATTTAGAGTGGGCCTGAACCCCTTAGAATAACAAGATACAAGTTACGTCCTCTATAGATATAGACAGCCTGATTACCAGTTTAATTTTATTGTCTATAAAGGTTTGAGGTCTATTCCTGTATATTACTAGGAATAGGGGATTCCATCTTTACATTTAGAGGCTCTCTCCCAGGTGAAGGAATACTTTGTATCTGATGAGACTCGTTTATGTTAATATTGAATAAAGTCTAACTAATTATTTGATACATTGTAAGTATATCATTTCTGGTGAGTTTGTATCCTTACCCTACCAAGTATCGAAGTTACAATAGTAAGCCATAAATTACTCTATTTTGCCTTTAAATACCAGCTAGGAATCCCTTTTTGGATCCCTTTCAAACTTTTATATTAAAGAACACATCCTTTTGAGTGAAACTTTTAATAGCACTCACTACAGAGTTTTTTGGGTTTTTTTTACCCACGCTGTATTTGTATTACTTTTATCACTTGCTTTCTATAATTACATCATTTTATGCAATTATACTGGGTTGTACCTTTGTGTAGATCTTGGCTCACAATTAGTGTGTGTATATGGGTGCATGTGTGTGTTATTTCAATAGACAGATCATGTTTTCTAACCTCAATTTGTCCATTACTTTACACTACACTGCCACAAAACACTAACCACTGTCTTCAGTGAGCAATAAACAATAATCCATATGCTACATTAAAGCTAAGCATTAACCTCTACACTATTTTGATAGTAACAATTAAATTCCATACTACCTGAACACTAGCCTACTAATATGATGTGTGAAACATGTATTAGGGGTAATAGTATCACTCCAGGTTCTTGGACACAGTTTGAAATTACTTGACGCTTGTTTTTGCAGTTTATTATGTTATCTACAAACCCCTTGTTGGCATTACTTTCCCATATTTTTTAAATATTTTGAAATTGTCTATTGTGTGTTCAATGAAAAGAGCATGTTTACAAAAGAGCCGTATGCAATCGTAATGCCTCTAAAAGTCCAAGCAGATTGTAGATATTTAGTTATTTGCGTCAAATAATTAAGTGTATGTCTTTATTATAGCTTGTATGGTTGTTTTTCTTATAGCAGGTTACCAAGGCAACCAGTGTTACATGTAATGCATGTCTGCATTGTCCTTTAATGTAAATAATTCAATGAAAGTAATACTATATTTCCAAGAGAAATATACAACTTCTAAACAAATTTTGATAATGCCAACATACATTATTTTATTTATTTATTTATTGCTTTATTAACTCTATTTTAATGCTTACAGGGTTATTCACTAATGTGAGAATTCAAAGTTAATTTCAAACTTAGAGCCAACGTAGCCAAAATGGAAGCATAGCTGACTTAGAGAATGTTTCCAGTTTGCCTATTTAAACCTTGAATTTGAAATTGACTTTGAATTCTCACTTTAGTCAATAACCCTGACAGACTTATTTGTCTTGTTTTATTTGATAATCCACAAAATGTATCAAATAATATTGCAGTTTAATCTATGATTGTTTAATACAAATGTGTTCACATTGGCTAGAAAACTAGTAGCCGATACCCGAGTATTCCCTGTTTGTGTGTAAACAGTCCTTTACATTCATAAATATCATAAACCCATCCATTTAACCCCTTAAGGACTGGACTGTTTTTGCGATGTTGTACATTTGCGACCAGGCATATTTTTACACTTTTGTGGTGTTTGTGTTTGGCTGGAATTTTCCGCTCTCTCATTTACTGTTCCCATACAAATTATATATTGTTTTTTCAGGACAAAAGGGGCTTTCTTTACATACCATTATTTATATAATCTCATGTATTTTAATTTAAAAAAAATTAAAAAATATGATGAAAAATTGAAAAAATACATGTTTTTTGACTTTTACTTGAAAAATCTTTTACTCATCTACAAAAGCGAATTAAAAAAACTGCTAAATAGATTCAAAATTTTGTCCTGAGTTTAAAAATACCCTGTGTTTACATGCTTTTTTGCTTTTTTTTGCATGTTATAGGGCTATAGGTACAAGTAGAATATTGCGGTTTCAAAACATAAATGTTTTAAATTTATCAATAGTGACATTGTAACACTATTATCTGTCATAAATCTCTGAATAACACCCCACATGTACATATTTTTTTTAAAGTAGACAACCCAGGGTATTCAATATGGGGTATGTCCAGTCTTTTTTAGTAGCCACTTAGTCGAAAACACTGGCCAAAGTAAGCATTCATATTTGTTTGTGTGTGAAAAAGTAAAAAAACTAAATTGAACGCTAATTTTGGCCAGTGTTTGTGACCAAGTGGTTACTAAAAAAGACTGGACATACCCCATTTGCAATACCTTGGGTTGTCTTCTTTTGCAAATGGTATGCCATCATGGGGGTAATTCTCATTCCTGGGCTACCATACGCTCTCAAAGGCAACGTAACCAACCTGGCCATTTTCAATGTAAAAATATTTGACCCATATATTTGACCTTGTAACTTTCAAAAATGCTATAAAACCTGTACATGGGGGGTACTGTTTTACTCGGGAGACATCGCTGAACACAAATATTAGTGTTTAAAAACTGGAAAACGTATCACAACAATTATATCATCAGTTAAAGTGCTGTTTGTGTGTGAAAAATGCAAAAAAAGTCACTTTCACTGACAATATCATCGCTGTGATATGTTTTACTGTTTTTAATCACTAATATTTGTGTTCAGCGAAGTCTCCCGAGTAAAACAGTACCCCCCATGTACAGGTTTTAGGGTGTCGTAGAACGTTACAGGGTAAAATACAGTGCTAGCAAATTCAATTCTCTGGAATTTCGGCCTGAGTTGGCAGGCAGGTCCCTTAAATTGCAATCAATAAAATTACTGAATTATGTAAAACTATTACATAAATACGCACATAGAATTTAAATATATATGCATATTTATATATTTGAAGTCTACGTGTATATTTATATAATTATTTATGTAATTTTGTATATGGACATATGTATATTTCTTATTATTTTTATTTATTTTTATATACATAGATATATATACAAATTCATTCTAAGTGTATTTTGATATAAATATATATATATTAATTTTAAAATACAGTTAGAATAAAATTTCATATAGATATAATTTTTTTTAATTTTTTTATTATTTTAAATTTTTTTTATTTAATTTAAATTACTTATTATTTATATTTTATAATAATATATATATACAATATATATAGTTATTATATATATTATATATATACGTGTGTAATTTAATTATAAGTGTATTTTTATATTAATTTAAGAACATATTAATATAAAAATACACTTAGTATGGCATTATATAAATATAATTTTTTATTTTTAATTAACACTAACTTTATTTTTATTTTTGATTTTTACACTAGCAGGGAGACTGCCTGTCAGCACAGACAGTCCCCCTGCAGGCAGACACATGGACACCCATTGTGACCATGTGATCGCTGTGTTGAGCGATCACATGGCCACAGGGGTCCTAAATCAGTGTGGGGAGACTGTCTGGGCTGCAGGCAGTCTCCCCACAACCGGAGGAACACTGATCGCCGCCGGGGGAACGACGGCGATCAGGTAAGTACCTCTAACCGTTAGGACGGTTCAGGACCGTCATCGGTCCTCAAGGCAAAAATGCTGATGACGGTCCTGAACCGTCCTCGGTCGCTAAGGGGTTAAATAATGAACAGTTATGGTTATACCAAGATGCAAGATGTGATTTACTTTAAGAGTCCTCCAGAAATAACAGTTTTGATTTTAAACCCTTCTGAGTTCTAATTCTGTATATGTATATTGAGATTCAATAATTTTTCTCTACACATGTTTTGGCCTTTATTGAAACTTAATTACCTCCATTTTACCAAGACTCACATTGTTTCTTTAAACCTATTTTGTTTTTTGGCAAATGTTTCTGTCCCTTTGATGGTTATTGTATACCAAATAAAAACCAGAATATTACAGTTCAATCAGAGAGGAGGTGTGATGCTGCCTTAAGAGCATAAAGGTGCAATCTACTGATTAAGTACTAACAGGCTCTTATCCATGTGAGTGGTTTAAAACTGCTAGCCACTAGAATATTACCAATTATAGTAACATCTGCACTGTTTTGTCTTTATATTTATGTCTTTCATGTACCCCACTGATGTACATCTTTGTTTAAACTATATGTTTTAAGGGTAAGCAATTACATGTTTTATTGTATGTAAAGCACTCCACTATTTTATATGTGCTTTTCACCTATGTAACACTTTTTATCACAATTTTTGTTTAGTGTGGAATAGAGGTATTTAGTTATCACCTAAAAGTTTTTTTTAAGCGCTTAATATTTGGACACTAAATTAATTGCAGGACTAAGTGTAGAAATAAGGAAACCCCTGTTTTTAATCTTTCAAGATTCTTTTCTTTCAGGAAGTGTTTGCCAGAGGATTGGAGGAAGGCAGATGTGGTTCCTATATTCAAAAGGGCTCAAAATTCTTGCCTGGAAATCATAGACCGGTGAGCTTAACTTCTGTGGCTAGGAAAATATTTAAAAGGTTATTAAGGGATAATATTGAAGAATTCCTTGAGAAGAACATGGTTATCAGCAAAAATATGCATGGTTTTATGAAGCACAGGTCATGTCAAACTAACTTGATTGTGTTCTATTAAGAAGTAAGTAGAAGTATAGATCAGGGTGTTGCAGTGGATGTGATCTATTTGGATTTTGCCAAGGCATTTGAGACAGTTCCACAAAATAGATTAGTGTTCAAACTCAAGGAAATCGGTCTACATGAAAATGCTTGTTCTTGGGTAGAACATTGGCTTAAAAATAGAGTACAAAATGT